TTTAATATACCTCCATACAACTGGTTTCAAAGGGTTGGCAGACTGGTGGGCTTATCTGCATCAGGCCTTGATGCTTTTACACATACAGCTGGACATGGCTGTAACAGGCGGCAATCATTCAGGTACAAATGTACTGATAGAAGTGGGCTGCAGGAGAAGCTAGTGTCAGATTGCACCATGCAGGGAGACAAGTAACCTGGAAGTTGAGGTTTGGATATCACTTTGACCCAACATTTGAGACAGATACTGGGCTGTTTCATACTGTTGGACAACAGCAACTGGATATCTGTCCTTACTTTCATTGACTTTAATTACACTGAACATGCTCTAGTTGCACTTTAACTATTTGTAGACACCATCTTCGAGCGGCCAATCACACTCATAATATGTGGGGCCATATCTTCCAGTTCTTTCAGGGTAGGTCAGTATGAAAGCCCACAGTGAGGCTGGTTATGTACCTTTACCACTTTGTTGAAGTTAACAGGCAAAGTATCACCAAAGGCGTGAATCTGGGATTTGAACCCACAACCAGCAGATCCTGACAACTAAGGGGCACAACTCTGTAATGTTATGTTACTGACTGACTGAGTTTGGTTTTACGCCGCTTTTAGCAATATTCCAGCTACATCATGGCGGGGAATACCAGAAATGGGCTTCACACATTGTACCCATGTGGGGATTCGAACCCGGGTCTTCGCGTGACGAGCCAACGCTTTAACCACTAGGCTACCCCACCGCCCCTAAATGTTATGTTACAAATTATTAGAAGTCTTAGTTTTCACTATAGGAATAGCTCTGATCAGATGTAAACAACTGGCCTATTTTAGACATGAGAAGCTGTCATTCCTGGACTTCAGTCTAAATGCCAAAGTGCATAATGTGTAACAAGTGCTACTGAAGCAATGAGAGGTTTTAGTCAACTTAAATATGCACCAAATAGTAACATTTTTGGAATAAATAATTTACACTTCAACGTGCTGAATTTTCAGAAAACTATGAACAAGGAATAATGGTCCCCCCCAAAAAGAAAGAAAGATTTAGTTTCAATAGAAATGATAAAATGCAAAACCATGGATAAAACACTCAGCATGCAAGCAGCAAGGCATAAGCACGAACAGCCTACAGATTGTGAAACAGGTCTTGAAAGGGGTCAGACCTGGGCGTGGTTGATACTGGGGTACGGTTTGGAAGAAATGGGGTAGGGGCAACCACGATTGGAATGTGATCGTACCACGAAGGGATATAAGGCGGTATTATGAAATCTGACCCCTCAAGCTACACAATGTAATGTCTCCCTATGCAGCATGGCCACAAAATAAACACCATGTCGACATCCAACCCCTGGCTATTCAAGAAGGTTTCTTTGTAGGTTACAGCCAGGATCTGCTCCACAGGGAAGGGTTACTGGCGTTGGATTTCACAACTTTACAAACGACAAACTCACTGTCAGCCAAACCACTGAGGAAAGGCTTTTTCTTGGGATTGCATATAGAGAGCTAATCTGGTGTTCCACTTTCAAGAATGTTGAAATTTCATTTCAGAGCACAAAGAAAATGTTTCGTGGGGATAAATATTTCAACAAAATGCAAACATATTACACAAGGCAGAATATTTTTCATGAATATGACCCTCTCTACATCTTTCTATTTTATTTTATCAAAAACCAAAACGTACAGCTGCAGGTCAATGCTGTCATGCACAATCACGAAAAATATCGAAGATCAGTTCAAGTTATACAATGACTCTCCAGGTCACACAGAAATCAAGAAGACTTTTGGAACAGTTCATTTCAAAACTTCATCCTAAAATATACGGCCTTTTCAAGGCAATGGCCAGGATCTGCTAAACGTGGTTGCAGGAAAATAATAACCTTGAACTGATTAATTCAGATCCTGACATGCTACCAAGGGACACAACTCTGCATAACACCACTGCTCACTTTACAGAGTGAGTGAGTAGGGTTTGTGACCACCTTGAACAGTGTTACAATGATCGTGGTGTGTCAACTGTATATGGAAGGAAAGCCAGAAACCACTTTATAGGCAGATCTAGTCCTAAATAATCTGCTCCTGAAGACATGCAGTCAATGACAAATCTCCCTTGAGTAACGTCACTCTGGAGCCATAAGCATATAAAGGGACACATAAGCCATTATGTTTATATTTCTACCTCCATGGGAGACCAAAATGTGAATTTTTAAATTTTGAAAAATGTTAAACACATGTGGATCATTAGCAATGATTTATCACTGAACAAAAACACGGAGTATTTGCTACTTGTATAGAGGCCCATGCATCGCTCTACTGTGCTATTGTGTGGTAAAGTTGGGTGGAAGCTGCATAATTTACGGCGCATGAAATGTTTAAAAAATGCATGTCGTTCCATTGTTCTTCATGCAGAACATGTGATCTGCATTCTGTAAAGGTTACACCAATTATTGTGTCTTGCATGTGCACTTGGATGGAAAACAGTCATGGCATAAAATCCAGACCGGAAAATAGAAGGAAAGTTTCTCCCACAATGACAGTGACATGCTTGAGATATGGCAATGAATACTGCCAGAAAAGTAAACGTAAGGCTCAGACAAGTTGAAAAAGGCCAGCTGAATTTGGTTTTCAATTTGTGGATGTTGACAGATTGACAAAAAAAGTCCGAACCCCCCAAGTTGTAAAGAATTCTAGGAGATTACATCACTGCAGAGTGGGGTAAACGCCTGAATATTCTGCAGGGATGTCAAATGTCAACAATGGGCAGATATTTTGATGTAATCCCTGAACATCTTGTATCTTGTTGATACACTCTACATGGTGAAGAAACACAGACATTCTGCAGTAGCACTGAGATGATGCATGGACAACCTCCGACTACTTGGAGCAAATGATAACAATATTACATCAGCCACATCATGGCAATACAGCTAAAAGTGAGGAAAGTCCAAAGGAAGTTTGGACTGTTGTGACTTTGGTGAAGAAACGAGCATCAGCAAGAGGCAACACACTGATACACCAGGGATCATATACTGGGATTCAAACCAAGACTAGGGATTCAAACTGGGATTCAAACCCAGGACTATATGGTTAGCTCAATGGAGGCTTTGAGGAAACGAAACCAGGACTATATGGTTAGCTCAATGGAGGAGTAAAGTAAAGTACCAAACCAAGAATCAGGACAAATCTGGGATTCAAACCCAGGACTATATGGTTAGCTCAATGGAGGAGTAAACCCAGAAGTGAGTACAGGTATGGTGTTGACAAACCAAGAATCCTAATCAGGACAAATCTGGGATTCAAACCCAGGACTATATGGTTAGCTCAATGGAGGAGTAAACCCAGAAGTGAGTACAGGTATGGTGTTGACAAACCAAGAATCCTAATCAGGACAAATCTGGGATTCAAACCCAGGACTATATGGTTAGCTCAATGGAGGAGTAAACCCAGAAGTGAGTACAGGTATGGTGTTGACAAACCAAGAATCCTAATCAGGACAAATCAGCAAATGAAACTTTGATCAGCAGATACTGGGATGACTGAAGGGACACAACTCTGTAAATCAAACTGCAGTGCATTAAGCCACCAAGGAACCTCTGCCCTGTTGAGCATTTGTAAGTTGTACGTGAAGGTCGAGACTCTCACTTCAGAATGGTGTGTTTTCGTACCCAAACAATGTGATTTTTTCTTCATACCATCAACCACTGTCTTTTTGGTCCAAACTTGTGTACATCACAGATGCAATATCTTCCTTCTCATACTAGCAACAATTTGTTTGTTTATCCTGACTCTAGAACTTGCAAAATTACAAAGAATCTTCCCTAATACTGTAACTAGTATAACCATCATTAATCACTATTAATCTATTTCGGAATAAATATTCATACCACATCCGAATACAAGAGCCCCAAACATTTTACAATAATTGACATTGTCAAAAACATCCACATGATTACCAAATGTCATCGTTTTTTCTTCAACTGCTGGTGTGGGTTCTCACCACAGAATGTACGGTCATGGTCTTGCATACAAAGATGTACGGGATTTGTTAACTAAACACACCCTGTTGACATATTTGTATTGAGTCATATGTAAATGGTGTCTGGTGATGCCTCCCTTCTCTCAAATGTAATCTGATGCAAATCCATCTTGCATTTCTGGGACAGAGCATGTGCATGTACAGTCGTACCAACATCAATGTCAACCATAATGGACGCTCTTGTTTATCGTCTCTATTCAAATATCAGATTTATCAATGAATGTAACATGACCTCTCGTAGCTGTATTTATTGATTTTGGTATATATTTTTGTCTTTCAAATGATAATAGTTTGGCTGCATCAAGACTTCATGGATTCTTTGATCAGGGTGATGATTATAATACCAAAGAATTTCAGGATTCTATCATATCACTTTAGTTAATCTGTGATGATACATCCTTCTGTGATAGGAGACACTTTGGTTCCTTTGTGGGGTTTTTCAATTATTAAAGAGGCAACCAGTGGAGGTCCTAATTCAGGAAAATCACAACTTATATCGATGGTGTTACAGAGTATTATGTGGATAGGCAAAGGAAAGTAGCTCCTATTGTTTTATCTTTTAGTGCCTCCAGAGTCAATGTTTATTTCTTCCAGTTTGGCATTTATATATTGATTACACTGAACAACTAAACAGCAAATATTTCTACCAGTTTGGCATTTATATATTGATTATACTGAACAAGTAAACAGCAAATATTTTGAACATTTATATATTGATTATACTGAACAACTAAACAGCAAATATTTTGAACATTTATATATTGATTATACTGAACAACTAAACAGCAAATATTTTGAACATTTATATATTGATTATACTGAACAACTAAACAGCAAATATTTCTACCAGTTTGGCATTTATGTATTGATTATACTGAACAACTAAACAGCAAATATTTTGACCAGTTTGGCATTTATATATTGATTATACTGAACAAGTAAACCTTGTGGGTCTAACTGTCCAAACACATTACCTTCTCTGAAAGCAGAGTAGTTGATTCTACTCTTGCATTCCACCCACTTGAGTCGGAAGCGCTCATCGTACTTGTCAGCCGTCCGCTTCCATCCCAGCTCCAACAGAGGAGCCTCCACTCTGAAACAAAGGCACCGAGTGTTGGACAATTTCTGCTGGTGTACGATCGAAAGGTATCAAACTGTTTCTGCTGCTGAGAGGTGGTTACTTTGTATGAGGCTACTCTGAAAGGATGAAACATGAAGGACATAACAAACAGCCATCTTTCCATACATCACTTTATCTGAGGAGGATGGAAATTCATGTATACCTCCCTACCCTCAGACTCAAGCCCCATCTAGGATTTATTCTTTACCAGGCACACTAGTGGTTCCTAGAAATGAATATTAATCTGGGTTGCCAGTAAATTGTATTTAATGTCATTAAACATCCTAAAGTACTTCGTCCATATATTGGCCTGCATAATCCCATCACACCAAAGTTTCTTTTCTTTGTACATCAAGTATAAATGAATTGCTATCTATTATCTGTATCATAAGCCATATCAATATTGACTTTGTTTTTAGTGGAAACAGGCACTAGGAGTTTTCACATGTTCATCAGTTTCCATGTGTTACTTATTGGTTTCCTATAATAAACAAAATCTGATATCCAGGTGGTACACCTCAGCCCTGTTCATAAGTACTGTGTGTCTGTTTACCATTTCTAAATTCGACATTTGAGGGAACTGCCTCTGTTCAAATCGTAAACTTGATCTGGTCATGCAAATTCATGTTGAGCAAATCTATGGATAGATATATCCCCAAACACTACTTTTGATCTTGTCACTATGACCTACATCTTGGCATCACCATCAATCAGCAAACGAGGGACATCAGGAACTAGCGTAACGTAACAAAGAACACAACAATTGATGAGAGGAAAACTGATAAAAGGAGGAAAAGACGCTGAAGAATCTCGATGATGAAACACCCCCGACTATCCCCCATCACTTCCTCCTGGCATGGAGGCCACAACTTCCTGGACGACTGGGGCTTGGGTTCTGAGTAATTGCCTCATCAGACGACAAAGACGTGTACAGGTTGGTTTTTTCGATTTACATGTCATTCCTGCTCAGTTGAGGCGCAGCTTTGTGTGCTGGGGATATAAATGTGCAATTGCTAAGGGCTTGGTAGAGCCATGGTGAAGTCTTCATTGTGACAGTACATGTGTTGGACATGCCCCCCGGACGCGGACATGGGCGGCAATGTCCTGGTGCAGTGTTTCAGAGTTCGTGTGTTGTACGCTGTGTACCAACATGATGAGAGGAATATGTATACTGGCAATACTGACAACACTGGGGGCAGATACTTTGAGGACAGACTGACAGATCTAGCTACAGGACACTGACACATGAACACCCATATGAAGAGAGGAATATGTATACTGGCAATAATGACAATACTGACAATACTGGGGGCAGATACTTTGAGGACAGACTCACAGATCTAGCTACAGGACACTGACACATGCACACCCATATGAAGAGAGGAATATGTATACTGGCAATACTGGGCGCAGATACTTTGAGGACAGACTCAAAGATCTAACCTACAAGACACCGACACAATCACATCCATATGAAGAGAGGAATATGTATACTGGCAATACTGGGGGCAGATACTTTGAGGACAGACTCACAGATCTAGCTACAGGACACTGACACATGCACACCCATATGATTAGAGGAATATGTATACTGGCAATAATGACAATACTGGGGGCAGATACTTTGAGGACAGACTGACAGATCTAGCTACAGGACAGAGACATATGCACACCCATATGGACACTGACAGACAGAGACAAACAGACAGACAGACAGGCACAGACACCGACCCATAGAGGCAGACACACAGGCAGATTCACAATCACTTCTGTGCAGAACAGACAGACAGACAGACAGACAGACAGTGTTCAGACAGACAGACAGTCAGACTGAGAGCTCAGACAGACAGTGTTCAGACAGGTCATTACAACACACAGTCAAGCAGACACCTGCAAGACAATACAGGTTAACAACATTCTCCTGTCGTCATGGCTACTACCCTCACTAAACTGTTATCAAACCCAACACATGCTGTCTAAAACCTTTATCTTAATCCACCCTACTCCCAATGCACAACAGAAATAGTGTGGGAGAAGCAGCTATTGTAGGAAGATCATTACATCACACTCCCGACTGTGAAATCCACTTGCTGCAGTACACAGAGACAACAGGGGATTTGAAGCTTTCAAAAATTAATTTCAAACAAATACAAATATTAGTCCAGGTAGTACGTCCTCTGCAACACCTGATTCAACTCGTTCACTCTAATGTCTAAATAAGGTATTTGTGGCAAGCTGCCCTCCAGTTGAAGGATTAGGACGGAGGAGGGGTAGGGACAGGAGGGGAGGGCAAGCGTGTCATCTCCCCCGCACCCTTCATCAACCAACCAATGAGAAAATATGCCGCTGACCTATGCCGACCTACATCAAACAAGGTCGGGGTCAACCGAGAACTTGCAGTGATGAGGCTCACACTTCATTTGTGGCGTATGTTTACAAAGTAGGAGTATACACCACCTGACAACTTTTTTAACGTTCGCGTCGCAAAGGTAGCCGATTCACCTCACGTCTCGACACGGTGGGGCCGAAAAGAGGCTGCGTCATCATGTGATTGGCAACACTGAGGGAATGCGACAGCGGACGAAACTCTTTCATTTCAAAGTAGCCTTTTGAAATAATTTCAACGCCCATCTTTACTTATCTGCATATTCTGTCGGTGACAGTCGCAAAGGTCGGGGGTCACTCGGCATAATTGTCCGTGCCACATGAAGAGGAGGATGGAGTAACACCTCCTTACAAACTACATTGAGAATTTCACAAATAAGTCTGTGGATATTTACACAAGAGATGAATATTTCGGGGTTATTGTGCTCCCAGAGAAAGGGCTTCTAAAAGTATAGAATTATATATTTACTAGGTCCACTGTCTGTGGTTTCCCCTCAGAGTCAGTGCTTGCTTAGGACGTACTGAAATAATATCTTTGAAACAAGTAGACTGTCACATTCAAGCCTTTAAAGAGTCTCAGTCCCCCACCCAAATCGAGCTGTTTGCCAGACCGTGGAAAACTCAAAGTTCAGAATAAAAATTAGGAGAGTTTATCCTTTCATCAGTTTGCACTAAATTTCTAATCTGTCAAAATTGGAAAAATCAGAAAAAACATCCTGTTCTCCAGATTTTAATTTTCTTGTCACTGCAAGACTATGACATACGGTCACTTGTCCAGTAAGGTACGGTCACTTTAATACTAGGTCCTCATGTCATATACTAGACCATATATCAGTACGCTTGCTGACATCTTTATAATCGCCCCGATACCTTTTCAAGCTCCACTGGCATAAATTTGTCATTAAACATTGATGAATAGTACTTTGCATGCAAATATATGGTTCCTGACCACACATATGACTAGTGTACATGAATCAGCAATAAAATGGGAAAACAAGTTTGTTAATAAAGTGAGACACTTATAGAAATGATCTAATCATATCATATCAACTTCAACAAATCTTGGCAGCCATATTGAATTGGTGGACACGTCAAACGTTGAATGGTAAAGAATGCTGAACAACACACTGCTGTTCCTTTGCAATTGCACCAACAAAAAACATAAAGTCTTTCAAATGACACATTTTCTGTTAGACAAAGACATGCTTGCAAGCAAGACATGGACGACACTGAACTTGTGACAAGACATCAACTCCCCAACATAACCGCCATTCATTCACTGTTACCACTAATGAGATATTTCTATTTTTGATCTATGCTGCATATTATATTACTGTGAATTTGCCCGAGGCCCTGCAAATCTTTCATAAAATCCCTGACGCTTCAACAAAGGACAGCCCTGCCCAAAAGGTACCACAGTCCTGGTGACAGTTCGACATTTACCGTATTCAGTCTGCGTTGTGCCCTGTTCAAATAACCCTTAGAAAACATAGCATTCCAACTCACAGAAATCCCAATAAGCCGAGTTTCTAAATAAAATAGGTCAACAAAATTTACCTTTATCCAAATAATGTGAAATTGCTTGCAGACAAAAATCCGCTAAAACATAAAAATAAAAACCAGTTTACAAGAACAATGTGTGCAATTACACAATGTCCTGTTGTAAAATTGTACCATATTCACTTATTGTGTATTCCACATATTTGACAATTTGATTCTCCGGTCAACTGCTTCCTGCTCCTGGGGGGCTATGGGATAACCTTGTGGTTAAAGTGGTCACTCATCGCACCACAGACTTTGGTTTCACTTTCCCACATGGGTACAATGTGTGCGGAGCATTTCTCATGTCTCCTACCATGGACACACTAAAACATTCACTGTGCTGAATTCTTGACAAGAAATATACAATGACGGTCATTATTGAATGTTACAGTGCAGTATTCTACACCATTTCATTACTTCAGGCCCCTCAGATTTCCAGTCGGACCCAGGAATTAGTAACTGAGGGTATTCTAAACCCCTAGCTCTGCAGGTTAACAAAATTAACAATGCATTAGAAGAAAATTTTCAACAAGAAGTAACTGTGAACACTTTATGTCCTTACAGGTGTAAGGACTACCTTTTCATAAGGACCAAGCCACATTTTTAAAATGTCATTTTGCATTATTTAATGCTAGTTTGGGCATTATTTCTACACAAAGTTTCCACACTTGACACAGGTGCCAATTATATTGACTACGGTACAAAGTTGATGTACATTCCATTAATATACATGTCGATATTCGTGGTCAGCCATGCATAGCTTGGTGTTTATTTTCATACCATGTGTAAAGCTTGAAGCACCTGGAGATAGGAACACATGTACTTTGATAAGCTGAATTAAGTAGCATTCATACATTCCTGTCTCACTCACACACTGAACAAATAAACATATTTATCAGATCATGTTGTTCGTTGGACTGAGGAAATATTTATACTGACGTGGTCAAATCTGAATACCATTCATAACAGTATTGATTTAGTGACACATCTTTATTTTCTCATACAGGTTTACTTCACTGGTGAATTTGAATAATGTCTGCAGATATTAAATGTTTGAGGTTTTTCTCTTTATCCTAGCTTTTGGATGGTAGCCTCAAAATAATGAAGTGTCGACCAGACCAGTGCCTGAAATTATGAGCAATGGAATAGGATAATCAAATAATCCTTCACTCAGAGTCATTCCTCACCTCGCTTACAGATTCATTTCAACTTCACTTCTTCCCTCCCTTAAACACATCCCCTTCCATAAACCATCCCTTCCATAAACCATCCCCTCCCTTAAACACATCTCCTTCTACAAACCATCCCTTTCCACAAACCATCCCCTCCCTTAAACCCATCCCTTCCATAAACCATATCCTCCCTTAAACACATCCCCTTCCATAAACCATCCCTTCCATAAACCACCCCCTCCCTTAAACCCATCCCTTCCATAAACCATCCCCTTCTACATACCATCCCCTTCCATAAACCATCCCTTCCATAAACCGGCCCCTCCCTTAAACACATCCCTATCCATTAACCATCCCCTTCTACAAACCATCCCCTTCCACAAACCATCCCTCCTTAAACCCATCCCTTCCATAAACCATATCCTCCCTTAAACACACACATCCCTTCCATAAACCATCCCTTCCATAAACCACCCTCCCTTAAACACACATCCCCTTCCATAAACCATCCCTCCACTCCCTCTACAAACCATCCCTCCATCCACAAAACCATCCCTCCATAAACCATCCCCTTAAAACCCATCCCTTCCATAAACCATATCCTCCATAAAACACATCCCCTTCCATAAACCATCCCCTTCCATAAACCATCCCCTTCCACAAACCATCCCCTCCCTTACACACATCCCTTATCTATCCAATCCATATTCTGCCCCAACACATTTCCTGTCTACACACATTTCCTGCCTCACACCAATCTCCATTCATTTTCCAACCATCCTTCTATCCTTTATATCCACTTTTTCTCATTCAAAAATATTCTTCTTTACATCAACATGATAAAAATCTTCCTGGTGTTTATATCCATCCAGTGTTCCACTACATAATACAGGTCAGCAAGTGACTACATTCCAAACAGAGACATTCCCCACCCCCTACAATACAGTCCGGGGGGTGACAGGTGACTGTCGGCACACAAGGAAGCCTACCCTCACAAGGACGCACCACAAATGCAATAAAATCAACAGTGTTACATTGAAGGGACATTATGTGGATGTATAAAGTGCTGCCCTCACTACATAAATCATCACAAGTCAGTCAGGTGTAAATAATGTACATCAGCCTAGTGAAGCTGAATCCAAGTTAAGCGTGTCCCAGCTCGTAACATTATCCTTGACAAACCGGTTCTACTAACCAGGAGGAAAACTTCTGTCAATGTACCTTTCAATGTGGATCCATTAGGATTCCCGGTAAGGTCACATCTAACTTCCCAACCAACCCTCCCTCCAGCCCCAGACCCCTTCCCTATCCCCAAACCTCCTACCCCCATCCTTTCCCCCCACCACCACCTACCTTCATCTCCAGCCCCAGCCCTATCCCCTATCCCCCAAACCTCCTACCCCATCCTCACCCCCAACCACCACCCACCTTCATCTCCAGCCCTAGACCCCTTCCCTATCCCCAAACCTCCTACAACCATCCTCACCCCCAACCACCACTGCACCTTCATCCCCAGACCCCCTTCCCTATCCCTAAAAACCTCATACCCCCATCCTGTCCCCCAACCACCACCCACCTTCATCTCCAGCCTGGCCTCAATTGTGCATGTCATTCATTTGTGTAATGGAATGGATGGAGGGGACTTTGCAAGAGAAACAAGTGCTCCCATGTTCCACACAGAGACTTTTATCCATAGATCAGAGTATGTCAAGCAGGGGCACCTACAAGGTGCTATGTTACAGACTGCGAATAGCCTGGCTTTGAGTGAGTGAGTGAATGAGTGAATATGGTTTTACATGGCTTTTAGCAATATTCAAGCAGCAGGGACACCAGACATGGGCTTCACACATTGCGCACATGTGGGGAATCGAACATGTTGAGAGGCATAAAGCCCCTTTCAGCATTTCCAATATCACAGAAAACATTAACTGAACCCTCCAAAGTGAGGCATTACCAGAAACTCTGCATTAATGCAGGTATGCTGCTGTACAGAAAAATGCAGGGATGATGTTGGCATTATAAGGTGTCATACAAAGTACAAATACTGGAAACGACACTTTGGATGACAATTAGTCAATGTCTCAATAAATGAACCGATCTGACACCCTGGAAACATTATTTGAGCCACAGCCTAAAATTCTCAAGAAATTTTAATTTGTTTGCAATAAAGCAAAGTAAGGTCAATGGCGAGGAAAGAAGGCATAACTAGCATCAAGAAAAAACTCATGATCATAACAATGAATGGAGAAACATTGTAGGCCAGTTGTTACTAGCCTGGTTACTATCAACAAATAGCTTATTGGCCGAGTGTATGTTCAAATCATCATCATCATCATCATCATCATCATCATCATCGTCAGGTACATACAAGGCTACTCCATTTCCACAGCCGATGTAGAAGCTTGGAGTCATGTTGTTGGCGAGACTGCAAGCTGGGAGTTTCGTTGGTTTGCCACCAGGGGTTTTCTTTCCTCCTCCTCTGTGTGGGGGTCCGGCCCCATCACTGTTGTTGCCACGCCCTTCCCCCTTGCTGGGATCAGAATTGCCTGAAAAAGAATCTGGAAATGAGATTCTGCAGCTCTTACATAGGGTCCCATACTTCTTTCCCTTTGTAACCCTACAAAGCTTAAGTACATTGTTTGTACATGTTACATAGCAACAAATGTTTTGCCATAATCCTTTCAAAATGTACAAAAAGAATCTAAAACTCTTTGTAATATGATCCTTAAGAGAAGTATAAATTCCTACCCAAGGTTTTGAGAAAAAACAAAACAACAAAAAACAAATTCAGAGCAAATGAGAATTCAAACCCACTCTCACAGGGTTCTGGTGTGCCCAAGGGAGGCAATGCTAAACTGGGCTCTTTAAAAGGCTGAATAAAAACAGACCAACCTTCTCATGAAGATAGTGGTATGACCTACTACAGACACTAAGGAAATGATAGCTGATGTTTTGTGAGGTTCTGTTTAAAGGTATTTATTTATGGTTGTCAAACCGACAGGCACTTAACAGGAGTGGTAGTCAGGTCAAGATCAACAGTCTTGATAACATGAATAAACATTGCAAGTATAAGCTACAAGGGTTGGGAAGTCGAAAATCATTTCATATTTTTAAAAACTTGCACCTGACTATGATGTACAGGTATTTAATTTCTTATCTGAGAATTGGCTTTACACCTTAATTCCAACATTTATGCAAACAGATCATGAATTGTTTTGAAAATATGACTGAGGAAACAGGATCTGGTTTGAATGAAAACACAAACATCACAAGCCTGTGAAATACTCCACCAACAGCAATTCAGTGACAATCACTTTCTTTGTAAGATTTAATGACACTGCGCATATCAAGTGAATTTGGGACACAAAACAAACAGTTAGATAGATGGTTGCCCTCACAAGCATGTGCTTTAAGACACACTGATAACTCAGTACAAAAGGCTATAACACTAAATCTTCATGAAAAACTATGACCCATGAAACAAGATCCAGGTCTTATTTGGGTCAAATCTCAAGGTCTGCTTATCTAATGATAAATTATTTCATTCAGCAAAACGTTCTTTCCTTGTACCACGACTTTTAGTTACTTTAGTGGCATGGAAGGCCAATGACTTACAAATAACTAAGTAGTGATGGTCTCTTTGTCCTGCTAGGATAGGCTGAGTATGGGTTTGAATCAAATACTAGTATACATCCTGATTGTGGGGCTTGGTTTGTCAGCACCATATGCCTGTCTGCTGGTTGCCTCAAGTTATAAATGTTGGTTTGGTTGGTTGGTTGGTTGTTTAAGGCAACACTCAGCAATATTCCACTTCATCAATGTTCACACTATTGATCACTGGATTGTCAGATCAGATAAGTTACCACCTACCATTATAGCAGCTGGCATATTGTCAGAGCAGCAACAAACAAACAAACAAACGAACATACCTCCCTCCCACGTTTAGCTGATATGTTATGTGTGGGCAACAAACAAACAAGCGAACATACCTCCCTCCCACGTTTAGCTGATATGTTATGTGTGTTTGAAAAAAATATCATTAATCAGTGCTGGCATTAGAATCATTTTCCTCACAGGTCAATAATCAACCTGGTAGTTTCTATTGCTAAAAAAGTTTCTATTTCTAAAAAACATGAACATGACCCTAAAATGCCACTGAACTTGATTTCATCAAAATAGCACTGAGCACAGGGGACATACAGACCATCATTAGCCTGATAAATCCAACCTTACATATGTAGCTGTCCTTGTCAACATACAAATATGAATCACATTCATATCATGAGACCATTTATCAAACTTGACCGAGAATTACACACAACATTCAAACTGAAAGACTCATAGTTCAAGCTGAAGTTAATGGCGATCTTCTTACAAGAATATAATCTCAAAGATATTAATTACCATTGAACCGAGTCACCACTGTGTGTGTTCACAAACCCAGAAGACGATCCAGCTCGATAAAACCCTTAGATTCTTTAGCCGGTGCTTGAAGTATGCATGCTATATGCATAATTAGTGCTAAGAGATTACCTACCAGGTTTAGTCGGCATGGAAACATGAATCGCAATTGTTGTCAAACTTCTTTAGTGATGAGAGGTTGTAAAACTATCAGGGTGTATTCCTTCCAATCTTCCAGACAGTATGCACCGTATCGCCCGATACGATGTATTAATATGTGGCTCAAACAGGTGGGTCTATTACCGCATTACTTCAAGACAAAGTCAGGGTCGTTTCGACTACCATAATCACACCGGGGAGTACTTCACGTGAAAATCTCAGTTTGATCATGTGAAACTTTTTCAGTCACGTCTTAGATTTGGTTTTATTATTGAAAGGGTCTGTGTCAATCCATGTTGCCTTGCAATATGCTCAATACAAAACAACTCGCTCGGAACCTGTGGTCAATAATTCATACCGTCCACGAGTTTGTTTATGCAAACAGCCAAGTCGGTCTATAGCAACAACACGGAAGGCAGGGAGAGTCATTGTCCAATCACACCAAGTTAAATACTATCAATTCTATGGTTTTGTACTGGACTGACTGGTGTAATGATAAAGGGCTATGACTGCCGACATAGAAACCTTTCAGGCTACTGGTCGGCTTTAATATACAGATAATGAATTCTGATCAAGTGTTAATCACCAGTAAAAGTACTTTCAGAAGAGCCTGCATTTGTACAGACCTAAATCACTGTATGTGCACAGAGAAGGGAGAATGTTTCACAAACTTTGATGGGCTTGGTAGATAGTGTTGAAAGTAAGTTTTTAGTGGCATTATCCAAAAGGGAAAAAATGAGAAGTGACAAGAAACCTTTTTAGACCACTGATTATCTTGAATAATGTTTCTGAAAACTTTGAAATATTGTTATGAAAATAACATGGTTACCAACGACTTTTCTGTTCCTCACTCAAATTCTTTTTGTTGTGGCATAATCATATATATAAATATGAATTCAGGTAAGACTGGACCCCAGCACCTGTGCCTTTTGATGTGGCAATTTATGGATTGGGTGGTCAGACTTGGTTGATTGAGAGTCATTGTATCCAGATGACCAGTATATTTACAGGCGGCTATCATAAAGGTGGAGTATTACTGAGTGCAGTGTTAAACTGAGTGAAAAGGTGGACAATATAGAGAATCAATATTAACACATGAAGATAAAATGATTAAAGTCAGGCAAATGTCTGTTTATGCAATTTGACTGTCCCTTTCTAGAAGGATCTTGTTCCGCATGAACACTGTCAACAGGTCACCAAAGTGGGGTCAACAGGCATTCCAGAGTTCCTGACATCCTACTGAGCTTGCTACAAGTCACTTAAAAAACTATAAACAAACAACCTGTTGTAGGACCAGTATTAGACTAGTCAGTCTCTGAATCTAATGTACTTTTGTTGGAAACAAAAACTCCATTTGAATGGAAAAATAACTCAAGTGAGATGAGAGTTTCAGGAAGAGGAAAACCTAGAGTTGCTTCATTTATTGCACTACAGATAAGGCTGGGCAGAAGGGAAATACTGTGGTTCAGGGACTGTGAGACAGACAAGACCAGTGTAAAAGGAGCTAAGTCTGCACAACAGTCATACTGTATTCTCTTGACAAATCAACAATCTGGTTAAAAATGACCTGCTGTTTAATGGCCTGTGACAGGACAGAGCTGTTAGATGAATGAATTTTACATACTTTCTGTGATAAGAATATATAAGTAGATAATTATTTTGGATTCCCTGCTATCTTTTCAACATTACACTTAAAGACATCAGAATTGTGTATGTGTTGTAGATTATCAAGAGGTAAGTGAGTCAGTTATGGAGGGGCATTCCAGAACTGGGCTTCACACGCTCCACCCATGATAGGAATCAAACCTGGGTTTGATGAGCGATTCCTTTAACACTCGGATACCCCACCACCTCCACTCTCAACAAGTGTCAGTTCAGTAACTCATGTCATGAAGGAGCAATTCGTAGCCCAGAAACATTCTGACAAACAGAAACTTTGATATCTGCATGCAATTTCATTATTTCTGAAAAAGTACATGTATATATTTTTTACTCACTGAATATCTCATGTATTAAACTATCAAAAACAGTAGGTACAACCACAAACAGTGTATGAAATAAGCCCAAAACCCAACCAGACATCAGGGCTGTTAACTTCAAAAATGTTACCAGCCCAAATGGATTTAACCAGACCAGACACCAAGATTTATGAAACATCTAAATTTTTTACCAGTGAGACCATCGGGATGGTTAGATATAAATTTAGACCGTCCGTCAGAAATCTAGACCGTCTCAGGTGGTCGGACGGGCTTTATTTCATACACTGACACAAATTTAGTTAAACAAATTGTTTTCATTATATATGATCATGTATGAAGACTCTTAAACTGTGACATTTTCTTTTGAAAACAATAAATGACACTCAATATAAATCTATGAATGGATGTTTGAAATAAGCCTCCTGTAACAAGGCATTTTAACACCAAGCAAACAATCTTAGCATGAAAAAGAAATAAAATCAATGAGTGAAGCTTAATATTGAATTTACACACCAACACCTATTCAGATCCTACAAAAACTACCTGTTAACAATGTTAAGAAACCCTATACAATCTGTAGTGGAAACCAGCACAAAAACAAAGGCCATTCCACTAACTCAATAACAAAAATCATTATCTCCTGAAACAAACACTGTAACCCAAAACACAACTCAACACTCAATCAGACATCTTTTTCACCATCAAATTAAACAGCTTGTACAAGATTTACACCAATCGATTTCAATTTCCCTTTTTTATATAAAAATTTGGAACCATCAGGCATAAAATTAGCACCAATGGTAAAACAAAGACCTGCACTACCAATGTTTTGCCCTGCTATGACAACGCCAAAGACATGCAGACAATCACAGACCGATTTCCTAAAATCGATATTGACGAGTGTTGCTCGAGGCAGTGCCATTGAAAAACTGTCACTTGAAGAACAGGACACATCAGAAGAGGGAGGAAAAACAAACAGCAGCCAAGGAACTATTTTGTTCGATGTT